GGGGGGGAGGATAGGCAGGATGGGAACACCTATGGTAGGTGGCAGGACCGGACTCCATTCACAGGGAGCGCGGCGTGCGCGTTAGAAATTTTGTGCCGCAAATTCATAACTCCTGTTCCCGTGGACCTAGAAAGCTCAAATTTGGCAGGAGTTTAGGGGCAGCATAGGAACACTTAAGACAGGTGGTAGGGCCGGACTCCATGCACAGGGAGCGGGGCATGCGCGATAGCATTTTTGGGCCGCAAATTCATAACTCCAGTTTACCTGGACCTAGAGCGTTCACTTTGATATTATCACACTTTTCGTATTACCAGTGGAATCTCACAATCAGCATTCTAATAGGTGATGCAAGATATGACGGGATCGTAGGTACTCGGTGACAGGGACTGATGATAACTGATAAGAGAAAATAAAGGACTTAGGATGCCACCTACCGATCAAAATCCTAACATCTTCGGTATCTACGAAGTAGCTTTCACCGTTCAGTATGTTTCATTCGGTAAGACGAGATGGTAGAGCAGGGTGACATAAGTGAGTGGTAAGTGCAGCGATAGGGACCCATTAGTCGCATACGATAAGCAGATGAGAATTTTGTTCATTTCTTACTATTAGATTACGACCGCTACCCAGATAGGTTTGTGATTCAATGAAGGATCCTCTTTGCTCGATGTCATTTGCGACAAAACTTATTTGACCGCCTGTAATCTGGAATTCTCAACTAATGATATCTCCGTAAAGAAAAGAGTTCATTGATAAAATATATCTGATAACGGTGCTATCATCACTCAGAACATCAAAGCATCATCTTTGATTGTCTAACATTTGGTTGAGTGATGGATATTTATTTCTAAGCGAGCAAAGGTTCAAGACTTAGGATCACAGGCGTAGGCACCGACTTTAACTGAATACCATTTGCACTGCCCTGTTAGTCCTGTGTCAAATTCTGTGTACAGGAAACTGCCATTTGTTCCAAAAAAGGAGTGGAGAATTAGACTTATTACAACTATCAAAGAAAGAGGAAAGCTTTCGATTTATGTTGTGTCAAAGGGTTTCGAGCTCTGTTTCAGTTTCATACTCTCACTCAGCTAAACACGGGAAAAACTTAAAAACTATAACTTCGAAAAAGGGAATAAAATTCTTTAGTTTAACATTCTCGGGATAGGATGTTTGATACAAGAAGGAGGAGAGCCTGGCGTTAGCCGGGCCATCCGACTGGTTCATCTAAAATTAGATACACCAAGGCTATCGTGAGTTGAACCATGTAAACTCAGTGGTCAGAGCAATATTCAAATACACTGTGGTTACAACTTGAAGCACTAAACTTCAAGAAGGTGTCGAGTTATGACCTCACTCTGTATTGTTTTTTTCCTTACTAATGTTTTGCTTGCAGCTGTTTTTCCGCTACTTCCAGAGTTTTTTCATATCAAGCGGAGTTTTGCCTGCATTCTTTTGTGTTATTGGATGTTACATCTATTTATTCGCAACCGCTCGCGTTTATGCTATCGAACCATCCTTGATCAGTGGCCTCTCTAACAGTTCAAGTAAGTTTCACCGAACAGAAGAGGTATTATAAATGGGATTGGTCAGTTGTTATGGAACAGATGGCTTCTAACGTGGTTTCAAAAACTAATCTCTTATTACTTCTTGAACTTTGAGAAACAATGTGTGTAGGCCTTTTTCTGTCAATGGACAATGGGAGGCAAAAAACTATTTATTCACACTATCATTGAACTGCTCAGCAAACCCGCAATTAATTAAACTGATATAAGATTGCTCCAAGCGATCCACCAGATGCACCGAGTTAGGCCGTGAATTGGATTTTGTGGATGGTACGGAAGCTCACTTGCATCTGCCTGCGGTGCAACGAGTTCAGAAGTTTACGTAAGAAGCGATAGCTTGAAGGGGTTAGAGGAACCACCCAAAACATTGTCCGGAGAGCAGATCTCAACGACAGTGAGTGAATATGTCTTCCGTCAATTCTTGAGACCTGAATACATAGCAAAGTTGATAAATTTTCATGCAGAACCGTTCTGTTGTAAATAAATGAGACAAGCGCAAATGATAATTGAGCGTGAAAGAATGAGGCGCTCTTTTGAACAAGTGTCAGATGCGATTTAGAAATATCAAGTGGAACGAAGAACGCTGGGCAAAAGTCTTGACAGAGGCAGGAATGAAAGCCGTTCAATGCGCCTTCAAAACGAGAGCACTACGACTACGCCACTGCGCCATTTTACCGCTCAAAATTGTGGGACGGAAACTATGTGTGTCTGAGGATGCGCGCGGCGAAGTTCGTGGTGATTTGAACTACTCCAGCGCCTATCGTTGGACCCAAATTTGAGGTAGAGTAGATTGGTAGGATCTGCTGAACTTACTAAGCTACTCTACTTTAATTTGTGCCAGAGTAATAGGCGCCAGAGTTGGTTCGAATCGTCACGAATTTCACCGCGCAATTTGCCGCGCACATCCTCGGACGCACGTATGCACCCATACCCATTGAAATTGGCGCATCGACTGCGTATTTCCAGAAGGCTATCTTCAACAAAATCCAGAAAGCTGGTAACTCTTTTGAAAGACTCATTTTGAAATTTCAAGTTCCATGATTGTGAACAAGGAATAAAGTCTTGACGAGTCTAAGAAACATTGTGTGGAGGCGATTCACTTTTGATTGTACGGCAGAGGCAAAAAACTATTC